GAGCCGGTGGAGAAGATCGCGGACGCAACGCTGCGCATCATCAGCGGCCGCCACCAGACGCCGCTGGACGACGGGCGGATGTTGCGGCAGAGTGACACGCACCCGTGCCTGCAGCGCTCTGCCGAGTGAGCGGCGGCGCGAGGCGGACGCAGACACACACACACCCACGCTAACGGATGCATGCGTCGCGTGCGTGCTGTGCGTTCGTGCCGAATATTGGCTGAGGGAAAAGAAGGATGAAAGAAGAGAAAAGAAGATATGTGAAGTTGTGGGCGCAGGGGATGGGGGAGAGAGGGAACAAATAGCAACAGCACCAAGTTTGACGGGAACTGACCTGCCCGCACACACCGGGGAGGCGAGGTAGCATATCAGGGATATGAAGCGTCTATTTTTTTTGTAGTTTTTTTTTTTTTCCCCCGTTGGTTACTTGCATGGGCCCACGTGGTGGAGCGGCCCCCATTGCGTGGCGGATGGGGAGGAGGGCGGCAGCAACGTGCGGCGCCTCGATGAGTGTAGCGTTGTGGATTTTCTTTGACTGTCAATCCAACGCGAGCAGCAAGACGTGGGGGCATCCTCCCTACACACAACTGATACTCACCCACTCGCACATACATGTGGGGTTGCGTGGATATAACTCCTGCAGGTTTCTTCTCTAGCTGAGTTTCTCTCCCTTTCCATTTCCCTATCTTGTAGGTTTTTGCGCCGTGCCAGCGATTGGTCCCAGCGTGGCTGCGCAAAGCCGTTATTGCCCACGCACGCCCCTTGCCACACATGTTCTGTTCGGTGATGCCGACCACCTTCTCGCGGGACTGAGGTTTGGTGCTCTACTTGAGTGTGTGTGTGTGTGGGGTCTGCAAAGTCGACAAACCCGGCACGAGGGACCAATACGCCTTCTTACCTTGTGCCCTCGTGACGCCCAGCGCACAGTGCACTCTGTTGTGTTGGGAGCTCCGCTCGTTATATTCTGGCTAACGCCCGGGCGTGTTGGTCTTGACCTCTGAAGACCAGACGGAGAACCCACCCACCCTGCTGCCGAAGGTCTGTCCCCAGGAAAAGGCAGCTCTTTGTAGAGGGCAGTGACACTTCGCGGGTGAGTGCCGCGGCACGGCTCTTGCGTTCGCGTAAATGGACTTCTGCTTTCGTTNAGCTCTTTGTAGAGGGCAGTGACACTTCGCGGGTGAGTGCCGCGGCACGGCTCTTGCGTTCGCGTAAATGGACTTCTGCTTTCGTTCCCGTGATGTGGGGGATGCACGGCTGTTGGAGCCTTCCTTCTGTGCGGCGGGTGGAAGGCGTCAACGGCCTCCCCTAGGAAGGAGGAGTCCCCCTCACGATACGCACCCGTACGCTCCTCCACAGCGCGGCAGCAGCTGACGCTTGCACGAAGGGCGCTGAGGAGAGCGAGCGAAGGGCGGACGCCAGTGCGTCCTTTAGGGCAGCGTCGCGCACGGCTGGGGCGCAACCAACGGTGTGTACACTGCTGGCGGAGCGGCAGATGTACGGCCGACCGGGAAAGCGGCTCATGTCACGCGCACATGCGCTGCTGTCGCAGTGATTAATACATCGAGGGAAAGAAACGTGAACAAATATTTTCCCGTGGAGGAATGAGGTGCATGCACATCTCTGTGTGTGTGTCTCTGCCTTCCAGAAGGTAGCAGCAGCCGTGGAGGCGTAGCGAAGCTGTGAAGGCAGCTCACCTCTCTCTCTCTCGGCGATGGGAGAGGTGAATACTGCGGGGGCAGCAACAGAGTGCTTGACGTGAGCTTTGTGGCTGGGGTCGGGCGCTCGCTTCTATTGCTCACCCCGCTGCTCCCGCCTCTCGCTGCTCTGCATCAGGAAGAGGCGTCCACACTCGCACCGCTGGACTTCGTTACGCACATCGGGTTACGTATACTCGCACGGAGTGTGTGTGGCTGCGCACAAGATGGAGGTGTCGGCGTCGGTGCGGCAGCTGTTCCAGTGGCACCTGCGCAAGTTCGACGCACAGCATGCGCGCCACTTCTCCCTCGTCGAGTCGCCCGGCATCACACCACTCTTCACGCTGTCGATGGTGCACATCTTCTCCAGCTTCTTCCTCTACCCGGCGCGGCGGGAGGGTGATACCGGTGCTCATGACAGAGCTCACCCAGAAGACGGAGACGATGCAGCAGTGGCTGGACGTCATGACGAAGAAGTCGCCCGCGGACGCGATTGCATGACGTGCGGCAATGTCTCTGACACAAGTTGTGCTCTTCCCTGTGTGACTTCTGCTGTCATCCTTTGCCCCGCAGCTGATGCACGCCATGCTGGAGCGCACGAGTCACATCACGCACCAGAAGTGTGCGTGCATCAGCAAAGAGGCGCCGCCGTTCGTGGAGGCCGCCATGGCACGGAGGCACGTGAGGCGGAGGCGTTCCACAGCGAGCAGCTGAGCATCCCCACGGATTGCTGCGCCGCCCTTCTTATTGTTCTGCTGGTGCTGTGCTTGACATCGTAGGGCCGACGCTGGTGTGAGTTTGTGTGCTTGCGCTTATTGGTGCTTGAATACATCTCTACGCGAGGGGTGCGTGTGTGTGTGAGAGAAGATGGGACAAAAATAACATTTCCCTTTTTGGGTTTCACTGCTACTCTTGATGGTGTCTTGGGTCTTTCACGGACCATTGCTCCCCACACTCTGCCTAGCGGCCAACACACACACACACACCCACGCTTGGGAAAGGGATAAACTGACGGGTTTGTAATACTCGACACAAGTCACATCCACACAGACAGGCATACAGACACATCAAAGAAAACGGTAATAAAGATACATACATATTTATATACACACACGCAGACATACTGGCAAAAACAAACGGTGCGTAATGCGGGTACTTCTCTCTGTCCCACTCTCCGCGTCGACGGCGCAGGCTGCGTTGCAGAAGGGTCTCCTGTCGCAGCACCACAACGTGTTCTTCACAAGCGACCCGCAGGGCTCTCACCTTGGGTCCGGTGCGGGAACGGCGTGGCTGCTGGAGGCGTGCTACCGCGCAGATCAGAACGACGAAGAGAATCACAACAACAACAACACGGGCAGTCACGAGACAGCCAGCTTCCTGCGCTGGCTGGCGCGCGAGCCGCGCATCATTGTGCACAGTGGTGGCCAGAGCCGCCGCCTGCCGGCATATGGGCCGTGCGGCAAAGTGTTGGCGCCTATCCCTGTGTTTCGCTGGTCTCGCGGCCAGACATGTGAGCAGACGCTGCTCGACCTCCAGATGCCGCTCTATAAAGAGGTGATGCGGCGCGCCCCGCCACACCTGCGCACACTTGTGTCGTGCGGTGACGTTCTTATCCTGCGGGGCCAGCCGCTTCCGCCGGTCCCACACGACGCGGACGTGGTCTGCTACGGCATCCAGAAGGAGACTGACATGCTGAGGAGGCACGGCGTCTTTTTCATGAACCGAGAGACGCCGGAGGAACTGGAGGTGATGCTGCAGAAGCCATTATTGCAGGAGATCAATGAGTTCTCGGCAAAGCGGCAGTGCGTGATGGACATTGGCCTCTGGTTGCTGAGCGACCGCGCGGTGGAGGTGCTGCGCCAGCGTAGCATGGAAAGGAGCGGCGTGGATCAGCCGCAGAGTGCGTGTGGCTGGAGGGAGTACGACTTGTACAGTGACTTCGGCGCGGCGCTCGGCCACCGACCCCTGCGTGACGATCCGCTGGTGCGGCAGCTTCGTGTCAAGGTGGTCACGCTGCATGAGGCGCGCTTCTTCCACTACGGCACAACGACGGAGCTAATTGATTCGACGTTTGTGATACAGAACACGGTGCGGGATGACGACAGCCTGCTGCAGGCAATGGTATCCTGCCACCCGAGTGTGTTCTGCCAGAACGCCTGCATCCGCGCCCCCATTATCGAGGATCAGCGGCAGCTGTGGATTGAGAACAGCGAGGTGTCAGCGGGTTGGTCGCTGCAGCACCAGTCCGTCATCACCGGCGTGCCGCGTAACGAGTGGAAGCTGCACGTACCGGCCCGCACCTGCGTTGATGTCGTGCCGGTGCGCCAGGGCGGTGTGCGTGGGTGGGTGGCGCGCCCGTACGGCTTCAACGACGTCTTCCACGGCCTCACCAACGACGAGCACACGGAGTTTCTTGGGTTGCCGCTCACGCAGTGGCTGCAGGAGCGCGGTCTCTCCCTTGACGCCCTCGCAGCGGGGAAGCCGGCGGTGGACATTCAGTACGCCGCACTGTTCCCGTGGTGTGCGAGTGTGGAGGACCTCGGCCTCGTGCTGCGCTGGATGATCGCCGCCAACGTCGCCTGCGACATGGAGCCGGGCGACGCGGCGCATGCAAAGCGCATATGGGAGGCGAGCACGCGCTACTCTGCGAACGACCTGAACGATGTGGCGGACGTTGCGGCAGTGCTGGAGTCCCGCGAGGCGTTTCGGCGCGAGGTCCTCCCCGTCATGGCGGCGCACGCGCACAGGAATCCATTCTACCAGCTCGACCTGAACCACACGGCGCAGAAGTACGCCGCTGCACACCTGCCGCTGCCTGAAAGACTCTCCGCTGACGAGGCGCCCATGATGCAGCGCATCCACCACCACATGTTCTGCGCGCGCGTGCTGCAGTACCTCCTCGCCCTCCTCCCAAAGGATGCCTGCCCCGCGCGTGGGACTCGGTTGGCGGAGGTGGCGATGACAACAAGTGATGAAGCGGAAGGCGGCGGGAACTGCCTGCCGCCGCTGCTGCAGGGCGCCACGATGACGCCCGAGTTGCTGCTCAGTGTGTATGGCATCGCAAGCAAAGAGGAGCTTGTCGCCCGCGCTGGAGAGGAGGAGGCGGCGGCGTTCATGCTGCTGCAAAAGGCGATCTTGAAGCACCTCATCGCCAGTACCGTACGGCCATCCCCGCGGCTGTCGGTGTACAGCGATCAAATCGTGTGGGGCAGAGGCCCGGCGCGCATTGACCTCTCCGGCGGTTGGACTGACACGCCGCCGTACAGCATTCTGTGTGGTGGTAACGTTGTCAACATCGGCATCAACCTCAATGGCCAACCGCCGCTGCACGTGTACGTGAAGTCGTCCCCCACACCCAGCATCACGCTCCGCTCCATCGACCTTGGCGCGGCGGAGACGCTCTCGACGTACGAAGAGCTGCGGCGCTACGACATGGTGGGCTCGCCCTTCTCAATTCCCAAGGCAGCACTCGCGCTGGCCGGGTTTCTCCCGGAGTTCGGCGCGATGGCGTATGGCACACTAGAGGAACAGTTACAGACGTCATTTTGCGGCAAAGGGCTGGAGATCACGCTGCTCGTTGCGATCCCGGCGGGGTCTGGGCTCGGCACGAGCTCTCTCGTCGCCGCCACGGTGCTGAGTGCGCTGTCGGACTACTGTGGTCTCGGCTGGGACGCGCACGAGGTGGGCCGCCGCACACTCGCCCTCGAGCAGCTGCTCACGACGGGCGGCGGCTGGCAGGACCAGTACGGTGGCCTCTTCCGCGGCCTCAAGCTGCTTCAGTCGACGCCGGGCTTTTCGCAGAGCCCAACGGCGCGCTGGCTGCCGGAGCACCTGATGGAGGACGCACGCTACGCGCAGTGCCATCTGCTGTACTACACCGGCATAACACGCACTGCAAAGGTGATTCTCGCAGATATTGTGCGAGGGATGTTCCTCAACAGCGCGTCGCATCTTGGCGTGTTGGCCGAAATGCGCCAGCAGGCGCTCGACCTTCACGACGCCATGGCCCATGATGACTTTGAGCGCTACGGCAAACTCATTGCCGCGGCGTGGGACCAAAACAAACGCCTGGATGCTGGTACGTGCCCGCCGCCCATTGCGGAAATCATCTCGCGTGTGGAGAAGTACGTGTGGGGCCTGAAGCTTGCCGGCGCGGGTGGCGGCGGCTATCTTTACATGGTGGCGAAGGACACTGAGGCGGCGCGTTGCATTCGGGAGGAACTGACGGAGCATCCGCCAAACGCCACCGCGCGCTTTGTGGAGATGAGCGTATCACACGAGGGCATTCAGGTGAGCCGCTCATGACGCGTGCGGCGCAGGCCGGCTGGCGAAGCTGTTTCTTTTACAAAAAAAACAACAACTTGGAAATGAGTCCGGTGCGGAGGTCGCAGCAGCAGCCGCTTCCGGCATCAAGCATGCAGACATGCAGACACACACAAAAGAAAAACGCAGATTAGTAAGACATGAAAACGAGCGAATGGGGCATTTTTATTTTTTCCTTTTCCCGGCACGCGAAGGTCCTGTCTTGCGTTGTAGATTGTGCATTCAGTCTGGGGGCTCGCAGCAGTCGTGCGGCTGCGGCTTCGATGTGCTCCTTCATTCCGCTCCTCACCGGGATGCATTCAACCACGTTCTCTCCCGTGCTCTTTGCGATGCTTGGCCTCACCTCTAGGCCAGAGGAAAGTTGGTGCCGTGGGGCAGCCATAGTGTTCAGCGGGATAGACGCACCCATATACGGAGAGAGGGAACGAGAGAAGTCTGCCGATGCCTCCAAAACAGCAGGCGAAGAAGCAGCGGGTGCGTGTCACCAACAAGGCGCTCGAGGCGCGGCAGTTCTC